GGGCCCGTGGGATCCCTGCCCTGGGCTCCAGTGGTCTCCGCGTTTAGCCCCAGACGTCAGATCTGTAGGTTCTCGCGGGGGGGTTGCTCTCCGCTCCCGGCCCCGGCCCAGCTGATCACTGCTGCGCTGCAGCCTCCTTCGGGGCGCGGTTTGGCCAGTTCTCAGGGCGACCCGGGGAGGGCTTGGACCCGAGAGGTTTTCCAATACACGGATCCAGCCGCCTCTGTCCTTGTCCGTGTCAGTGCGGGCAGCAAAGGCCCAGCCAGCTGCCAACTTCTGCATGTCCAAGTTTGTCAGCGGTGTGGGGCTCAGACAGCACTCTCCGGAGAAGCCCGACCTCCTCCTGGTGTTCGGGGCCAGGCTGCCCCGCGACAGAGCCAGGCTGTGCCAGGGAAGGCCCGATCCCCTGCATTTTAGCGCAACGTAAAAACGGGCCGGTGCTGCCTGCGTTTCGGGTGTGCAGGAGAGGTGGCTGGGCGGGCGGGACAGGGATTTGGAACGGGCCAGCGACCAGACTGAGGAAGGCAGACGGACAGGCAGACAGCCAGACAGCCCTCTCCTTGAACCAAGCAGCGCGAGCTGAGTGCGGTCGTGTCTTTTCCTCTCGGCCCGCAGTGGCCCTACCTCTAGCCTCCATCGCCAGGGTCAACGAGAACCGGAGGGGAAACGGCTGCTCAAAGCTGCAGCCCAGAGGATAGGAGAGCGATGTCGCAGAGAAACGATGGAAGCAAAATAACCTGGGCCCTTCTTGGTCTCTCGTCCGCAGGAGAAACGATGGCTCCATTTCTCTGCATGTGGATTGCAGCTTTCTTCGGGGTGAGCCAGGGCTGCCCAGAGCCCTGCACTTGTGTAGAAAAAAAGTTTGGCCGCCAACTCGCAGAGTGTGCTTACCGAGACCTGCAGGAGGTGCCCGCGGGGCTGCCCTCCAACGTGACCACCCTCAGCTTGTCGGCCAACAGGATCCGCTCCCTGCAGCAGCGCTCCTTCCTGGAGGTCACCCAGGTCAGCTCGCTCTGGCTGGCGCACAACGAGATCAGCGCCATCGAGGCGGGCACCTTTGCTGGGCTACTGCATTTGAAAAACATAGACCTGAGCCACAACCAGCTGGCGGACTTCCCCTGGCGGGACCTGCACAACCTCAGCGCCCTGCAGCTGCTGAAGATGAACAACAACCAGCTGGCGAGGCTGCCCGCGGACGCGTTCCGCACCCTGCGCGACCTCCGCTCCCTGTGGATCAATGACAACAAGCTCGCCACCATCGCCCAGGGCACCTTCGACTCGCTGACGTCGCTGTCCCACTTGCAGATCTACAACAACCCACTGAACTGCACCTGCGCGCTCCTGTGGCTGAAGGGCTGGGCCGAGAACACCCTCATCTCCATCCCCGAGCGGGACTCCATCAGCTGCGCAGCCCCGGACAGCTTCCGAGGCCTGCCCCTGGCCAGGGTCCCGGGCCTGC